CATCCATTTCTGTGATAACTTTTCTATTTCACAGGGAAGTCCCAATACTGATAGAATTCTACATAACCCCCCAAATTAATATGTGTGTAAACTAAACTCAGTTGCTTGAAGCAGTGATCATCAGGCTGATGTGAGGATAAATACTGATTTTATATTACATAAAACTTCCTTCTCAATTGCAAATGTTATCAAGGTTCTATTGCTGCTGGGAAGGAAATCAAAGTTGGTCAATTTAATGAAAACTAAAGTTCATATTTAAAAGACCAGCAAATTCTTATGGATGATTAAATGCAACCTCAAATTAAGTTTATACTTAACTGTTATTCAGTATTGTTTCTCTGGAAATAAATATTAAAGCATTCTCTCTGCCAGAAAAACAAACAAACAAACAAACAAAAAAACCCCAAACCCAACAAAACAACCAAAACAAACCTGTCAATCTATGGCTAGCAATGAGCTGTAAAGCAGAATGAATAAAAGCAAACCTTGCCTTTTGCTTTCTTCCTAGGCAATCAAAAACAAAACCATAATGGATCACATTACCCCATAGAATGTTCTGTTCATTTCTGAACGAAAACGTTACTGAAGACTCCACTAATTCAAGGCTGGCAAAAGATCCAAAGGGAAGCCAAAACCTTATGACAGACTAGACTGTTACACATAGCAGCGTGAGCCAGGAACCACAGCTGGGGAGGTTCAGACTGGATGGTAGAACAACTTCACTTCTGTAATTGCCCAGAGAGATTATGTAATCCCGGTCCTTGGAGTGTTTAAACACTTGCACTAGACAAATACATGGAAGATCAGATCCAGTGTTGGGGATAATCCTGTTTTAAGAGGAAGATTGAAGAATATGATCTTGAGAGGTCCTTTTCAACCAACATTTAAGATTTCTATGATTATTTCTTGAAGTTAACTTTCCAAGACAAGAGAAAGGGGAGCCAAACAACAAAAAACCTGAGTAACAGTCATGTTGTCAGTATAACACAGAGCCCTCAAAGTTTCAGAGTATTAATGGCCTGAAGGTCACAAAAGTGTATCTCATAACAGACACCATCATATCCAACCATGTTATTTCATTGTTCTCTGTGAGGGTGCTCACCCACAATGACACAATGACTTGCGCGGGCACAGTTTTGGATTCCAGATCTATTTATTTGCTCCATACCTGAGATAACAGACTCTTTCCTGGGTGTCATCTGAATGACTGAGCAGGAAGCAGTGAGTGTGCAGCAAAGCTTATCAGCTCTGGGTCAGCTTGAGCATGGGCAACTAGGTTACTTTGCACTGCATTTCTCCTAATGGGAAAATTGTATTGGGATGCCAAGACAACTCTGGATTTGGATATATTACAGTTTAGATAGATGAGATCTCTGTCTTGGCAGGGTGGAGCTATATTGTTGTGGACTAAATGCTCCTGGAACAAGAACAAAAGCAGTGATGCCATGTTGTGCTGGAGTTTGACTGGAGTTGCCTCTGTACTCAGCCAGCCCAGTGTCTCCACATGCTCTGGACCACACAACCATTTCACCTCAAACACTGCACTGTAGAACTAGCTTGGACAAGTGAGTCTGAAAGATCTATAAATCCTCATTTAATAAGGTCAAAAGAATATCAGAATTATGGGGGGTAGTTCTTACATGAAGGACTGTTTCTTAGTTTTTAAAAGCTTACTTATTTTTATTCACTATTCTGCAGCATGGAATTCAACAAGGTCTATGACAAAATATTTCCAAAGAGTAACTTTACCCAAGGTATAAGATACTATGGACTCGGTAAGATGCACCCATCAACCACCATTAAAGAGCCTCAGAATAAATCAGAATCTGATTTGGGACTTCGGAAATTAAATAATGCCTCCTTGTTCTGAAGTGCTTGCTTAGTGTGGGTTTTTAAACACTCCAGAAAGTATTAAATCTAAGCCATTTCAGCTAGTCTGATCTGCCACTAAATGCAATATCAGTATTTTGGCTGTTAGAAAACATCACAGAAATAAAATTAAGTAAAAAAATAATCAAAATGCTTTTTTTTTTTTTTAAAAAAAATTCTTTTACTGATGTAATATTTTACGTGCTGTATTATTACTTTGACTTCCATTGTGGTACCACTAAGATGTAGAAAACATCTGTTAGAACTAAAACTATTTGTTTAAAATATTATAAAAAATTTCGGCATACACCTAGTATGTAATCAGTAACATTGTATAGATTTTATTTAATGTAATTTTGCTTTATAATATAATTTAAACAAGAGTATCTGACATCTTTAAAAACTCCTTAACCATGTCCTAATTATGTAGCTACAGCTACAGCTTTGGAAAAAAACAGCAGATCTTTATATCTGATTCATCTGGCAGACCAGGTAGAATCATCATCTAAAAGCAAGTGTAGAAATGCAATGGAAATTCATATTTTCTCATCAGAGGCATTACAAATTCACTTTATAGAGAAACACAACATTGCATTTCAACATTTAGCAAGAAGTGACAATGTTGTCCTTGTCCTTACTACTACAAAGTGAAAAGAAGCAACCAAATGAAGCATGTACTACAGCATAGTAATATCTTATTTTAAAATTCAATGCATCTTTTAAACTTTAAAGGATAAAGTGAATGTATTAGTGTTTCTCAGTCTGGCATACTTTTTTCTAATTCCCATATTTTCTAACACCATTTCCCAAATAAACAAATAAAGAATAATTACTATCAACATTGAAAGGATAAAGAAATATTAATTCTTTCATGCATAACTGTCAAAATCTGTCAAGATTTCATGTCATTTGTGAAATCTGTGTGTAACCAGAACCAGTTCAATAGTACTGAGCCATGAAATGAAACCTTAGAGAATTCTTTTTGAAAGTGGCAATGAACAACCTCACTGAAAGGATTCTTTCAGCCAGCTGCTTTAATGTCGTTAGCCAACTTCCCAGTTTAAAGACAGTCTATGCCAACAAAAATATATCACTTTCATGCCTGAGTCAGACAAACAAAATATGTCGTGAACAAAAGTTTTGTTTATTTTTAATCTCAGCTGGTTTTGGGGTTTACTCTTCCCATTCTCAAGCAGCCAAAAAGATTTGTTTTAGGTAACAGATTTGTTTAAATTGTGGCAGTTTGTGAAAAGCAAAAAACATTAAAAATAAATTGTGGCTATACAAAAGAAAGCATAACGATGATACCATATAAAATGCATACTATCTATTACACAAGAAACTTTTAATCTGAAATATAATAGCTGTCATATTTTTTTAAAAATGTAGCAATTAATAATCACTGAGTTTTGACTTGGCAGTTTTCAGGTAAAGCTATTTATCTTTAACTCTCTCTTCCCAAGAAAAGGTGCCCAAATTTAGAAATAATGAACAAATAAATGTGTTTTCAAAACTTTAATGAATACAATGATTTTGACACAACATCAGTTAGGGTATGATATAAAATCTGGAGAATTGACAGAATCACAGAATGGTTGAGATTGGAAGGGACCTCTTGAGATCATCTAATCCAACCCCTCTGCTCAAGCTACCTGCTAGATCAAGTTGCCTAGAACCATGACCAGTCAAGTTTTTCGTATCTTTACAGATGGAGAGACTACAGCCCATCTGGGCAACCTGTTCCAGAGTTTGATCACCCTCACAGTAAGAAGCATCTTCTTGTCTTCAGACTGAATTTCCTGGTTTTCAATTTGGGCCCATTGTCTCTTGACCTGTCAGAGGGCACTTCTAAGAAAGTCTGTCTCCTATTTCATTTCCTCCTATCAGGTATCTATACGTATTGATAAGATCCCCCGAGTCTTCTCTTCTACAGGTTAAAACAGTTCCATCTCTCTCTCAGCCTGTGCTCACATGAGAGATGCTCCAGTCCCTTAATTTTTGTGGCCCCTTGCTGGACTTGCTCAAGTAAGCCTACATCTTTCCTGCACAGGTGGGCCCAGAACTGGACACAGTATGAATGTTGCATTTACTCTGCAAAATATGATCATTACCTTGAATTTAAACTTGCAATGGCTATCTACAGAGCAAATAAGGTTTCACAGGTAGCAAAATTGTTGCCAGGTAAATGAATGAATGTAATGAAGCAAGATACAACAGTGGTGTTCTCTTTAGCTAGTAAATGACAAAGACAACGGTAGATGGGAAAGCCAGAGGAAGGGTAGGATCTAAGCCAACATAATTTCAGGGAGAGAACAAGGGAGTAGCTATGACCATCAAACTCTAAGATCTGGCCATTACTTAAAGTTGGGAAAGGGTTTTTTCCTCTCATTCTCCTTAGAGGAAGGTATCTGTGATGAAATGACTGTATTTTAATAGTGGTTAACGTTGACTACAGTTTTCATTTAATGAGCAAAACTGATCAGAAGCAGGGTTTAAAGAAACCAGATAGTATATGACTTTTTCTTACAGATTATTCACTGTAACATGAGGACATATTCACAAAGAAATTAATTTAACCTGCTCTGACTCAGAAAGAATAAACGAGTAAAAGTAGGTCTCAGAGTCCTTCTGTGAGGATATGATGTCAGAACAAATCGGACTGGGTTATTTGTTTAAAGAAGTAGTAAACTGTTTTAAAAAAAAAACCCAAAACCCAAAGACTACTAGAGGACAAATCATCTTCATGCATGATTAGTAAATGCTTGTCAGTTAAAAGAAATCAAATAATTTTTAACATAATATTTTTAACTTTCATAACAAAGAGTGAAAGAGATAAGAAAATTAGTTTCTGTTACTGAAAAGATAACATCGAAAGGAAAAATATTAAGATTAGTAACCAGGCATCAGAGTAACAAAGGAGGTAACAAGGTACATATTAATGAAAAGCAATGTCAAATTACTTGTCAGTAAATAGCAATAACATTGAGTATTTATTTAAACATATAGTAAGTAAGCCAAAATACAATACCTGCCTAAAGTTCAATGATATTCACTGTCAGAGCAATTTCATTTACCAGCACACTGTGACTCAGCTTGCTTTTTTTTCTATTCATCACCACTTTGAAGGATACTCAGAAGAAGAATAATATGTGATTCTGCAACAAACTGAGCCTGACTGCTTCCATGTATGTAACTCTGTAAAATAAAAATGAAAAACAATCCTCTTAACAACAAAGAAATCTACTGAAAATGGAACAACTGGATATGTGAAAATCAAAATAAAACCTGTTCTTCAGAAAAATATACAGTAACAGCTACAGGTGAACAGCACAGTGTATGTACGTATGTTTAGGAAAAAGGAGTGTTAAAACCAGCATATTTAGGCAAAGCACATATATACAGTGAAGGTAATGTTTCATATACAAGTGCATTATGCTGGACTTCACACTGCTGCTGGTGTGGAATAAAGAACATGCATTTAGTTGCTCAGGAGATATGATTTTGAGAAGGGAGGTGATGAAGTCAAGGACACAGCTCAGCATGGTTTTGATGGAAGTTAAAACTGAACCTTGCCTTTAAAAATATCAATCTATTTTAGTCTTACTCAGATTGAGTGGTTTCTTCACACAAAGTCTATTCTATCTTTCTCCATGAAGGCACAACTGTGTCCATAAAAAAAATCCTAATTCATAAAATGTCTTGTTCATACTGGATTGTAGTAAATGCAGTCACAGATGTTAATACAAAATGCAAATCTTTTCCCCAACATAATTATTCTTAATGGGCTCATTCTGTACATTTATTATTAAGGACTGTCCTGGTTTGAGGGACTTGCAGGGTAGCACGGGAGGGGGGGTACAGTGGTGGCCCCCTGTGAGAAGCTTCTTGAAGGTCCCCCGGCTCCGAGTTGGACCCGCCTTTGCACCAAGGCTGAGCCAGTTAGTAATGGTGGCTGTGTCTCTGCAATAACTTATATAAGAAGGGGATCTGAGAGGAGCTGTGGGAGTTGTGAGGAGGAGTTGCAAGTAGAACATCTGTGCAAACACCAAGGTCAGTAGAAGACAGGAGGAGGAAGCGGGTGAGGTGTGCTGGGGCAGAGACTCTCCTGTACCCCATGGTGCGATGGCAGGGCCGCTCCCCCACCACCCATGGAGGTCTATGGTGGAGCAGATGCCGATTCATGGCCTGAGAGGGTCCCACGCTGATTCAAGTGACTACACCTGAAGAAGGCCAAGACCCTGTGAGAAGGCCCCACTGTTGTAGTTCAGCACTGGGAGGATTGCAACATGCAGGGGTGATGCACACAGTGGGAGTGATTCATGTCAGAGAGTTTGTGGAGGACTGTCTCCTGTGAGAGAGGGGGACCCTGCTGGGACAGGGGAGGAATGACAGGAGTTCCCCCCACCCCGAGGTGAAAGAAGTGGTGGGACTGACTGCATCCCCATTCTTGTAGATATCAGGAGCAAAGCTGAGCCCAGGAAGTAGGGAGGGATGGGGTAAGGTGTTTTAAAGATGTGATAATGCTTCTCATGGTCCTACTCTGTCTGTTAAGTGTTGCTGATGATAGTGTCTCTATTAAATTTATGTCTTTTTTGTCTTCACCTAACAAGTCTGTCTTTTGCTTGTCACCATAATGGATGAATCATCCCTTCCTGTACTTATCTCAGTTCCTGAATCTCTGCTTTTCTTCCCAGCACTGGGGGGAAGGGGGTAATGAGAGACAGAGCGGTGCTCAGTTGCCCTCTGAGCTCAAACCACCAAGCCTTTTGCTTTATTTTCTCCTTCTCAGTGCTGGGGGGAAGAGGAGAGTGAGCAGCTGCGTGGTGCTCAGTTGTCCTCTGAGCTCAAACCATGACAAGGACACAGAGCGTATTATTCAGAAGTTAATACTATTTATTGTTAACTAGCTATGATAGCAAAAATCTGCAAACATGCACAAAATGAGGGAGATTGTCTGTGCTTCTGCTACATCAGTTATGAACATTGAGTACAGCTTGTCATACTATTCTATGTGAAATTAAGTATCTCCATGTTCTCAAAGTATTATTTATGTGTATTTTTCTTAGGCATATATGCAATTTTCAACCCAATTAAATAGAACAAAAAATTGCTCTCTCCTATTAAGGTAAAGAAAAAGGAAACTTTTTGCACTCTCTTTATGAATTCAGGGGTTTGTTTGTTTATTTTTAACTTATATGTTTTGCTTTAATTTATCTTAATTCTGCCTGAATAGCATCCTTGTCAAGATTTAGAATAATTCTGATTTTATTTACTCTGATGCTTCAGAGTACAAAAGAATGCCTTCATCTGCACTGGTTACACTTTGGTTGATACATTGTCAAAACATGAGTTCATAAGATATGATAAAAGTTTTTACTCAGTAGATGGTTATCTCCTGTTTTCAAAATTCAATTATATTATGCTCATTCAAATAGCCAATTCAAAGCTAAACCAGGCAAGAACTTGATGCATCTAAAGATTCCATCTCTCTAAGAAGACTTAGTTTTTCTAACAAGATAAAAGTAATTGATCTCATAAGAATATCTCATTGCAGTATGATATGACAATGAGCCAATCTGCATTTCTTGATTTTTTACAGGGCTCCTTATAAATCTCGCTAAGGCTTTATAGACACACACACACACATATACATAAAATGAAGGAAGGAAATAGGAGTACTTCACATTAACAAAAATTAATAACAAAGTTAAAATGCTTAATGGATCGCATACTGTGACTCAGCTGTGACTACAGTCCTGCAAATAGCGACCCTCTGTCATTACATCTCATGCAGCTAAAGCAATATATATATATATATATATATATGTAGGTATACATACGCACTTGCAGGATTTGGATGTAAGTGTGCCTAATGTTAAACATCTACTTCTTACAATCATAGCACCAAGTTATAGTATAAATTTTACAATGATCACAATACGTACTGTATTTGTTAATACAATGAGAAATGAAATAAAAGACAAGGCTTTCATCACAAAAGTGTAACAGGCTCTAGTACAACTATTTAGTTATTAAATACCTATATGCATTTATACATAATCACTACTACTCTTTCTCTACACACATGCTAAATTGTATAAAATTGCACATTGGGAACTAAAGAAATACACTCTATGTTGAAGAGATGTTATTCTCACTGATTATTAAAACTGGTTGTCACGTGTCTCCTAAGACTATAATGCCTTCTGTATTTGTAAAATATTTAGATGAGAGGTGTCATTTTTATTGATACATTTTATACTTTGTTAAAGTAAATTATTTTTCTCTTTCTCTTTATGGTAGCAATTTAATTCACTGTAATACCACTGAAGGAACAGAATCTAAAGCATGTACATAAACATATACACATGCAGAGGCTATATAGAGAAATCATTATTTTCCTCAAAATAGTTCACTAACATTAAATTGCTTAGATTTCATCTTAAGAAGGAGGAAGAGTCTCATCCCCCAAAAAAGCAAATTTTATGCTACTGCTTCCGGTGACATAAATCTGTCCCACACTAGGGAGGAATCACATTTAGTCTTCATCACCCAGCATAGTAACTTTATTTAAAAAGCTTACTCAAGTTTGTGTGATTTCTGGTTTCACTTGGGAATATCAAAGAACTACAAATAATTTTGTTAACAAAACAGGCCAGTTTCATTACTACCTACCTGTCAAACCCATACATTAGTAATGCTTTTTAAAATGCCAGCAAATATGCTCTCAACTCTGAAAATTTCAAGCATGCTTTTTTATCAGTTATTCACACCTGAAAAACTGACTGAAAATTTCTCTCTCCATCTGAGGATAATCAGAGCTCTCAACAGGTAAACTCAATTTGCAATGCTGTACATGTAGACTAGTTACAGTGCAAAGATGAAACACAACAAAGAAAAGACTAGAAATTATAAAAACTAATTAGATCATTAATGTTTGTTTAATCATATTCTAATTTTAAAAATGAAGTCTTATCAACTTGAGAAGGCAAGTTTTTATATGTACAGCAGTGGTATGGTGATTTGATATAATACTACCAGGGTTGGTATCACAATGAGATAACAAGGATACAGTTATTGGAAAGACATTCTCAGAAATCTTTGCCTGCCTGTTTGTTAAATTCCTTATGTAATTAGTTCTAATGCATGACACAAAATATGTATACTTGTCTCAGGACTTTTTCATTTGAAGTTTTTCCAGGAGCTGTTTTAGCAACTTTCAAGGTATTAAATGCATCACCAGAACAGGGTCTTAAAATATTAAGCCCTTAAGAAGACAAAATCATGAAAACAAAGATACTCTCATTTTCACTATTAAGTGACAGATAGAGTCCTAGCTACCACCTCATAGTCAGTATAAAGAAAAAATTATGGTCTAGATACAGTTTATTTGCAAATGCTGAAACTTGGCCCAGCCAAACCCAAACAAACTAAAACCTGAAAGAAACAAAACCTGCCTAGAAGACATAAATCAGAGACTAATTTGAAAACTAAATGATGAATATGAATTTCTGGCTAAACGTCTTATAGGGATTAATACCGTAACTATATTTCTTCAAATGTGAGTTGCTAAAGGCATAGCCTTGCTTGCAAGGAAGTGGATGTTCTTTGATATAGCTCTGGAAACATTATGTGTATATTAAAAATCTAGTAGGAGACAATTGTTACCTACTGCTCTGTCCCCAGAAGGCAGACAGAAATGGATAAAGGCAAACTAAGTAGCCATGACAAACACAAAACACAGGCTTCAATTTTGTTTGAGAGGGCAAGGAGATCTCAGGTTAACTTAGAGAAAGTGTTCTAGCTGAAAGCCAGTTAGTTAAAATGTTAAATAAGGCAGACGTTTACTGTCCAGTATTGCCTTTAAAAAAACAAAGAAATTAAATATGCAACCGTTAACTTAATTCTTCTATTACAAATGTCCTTAGGTAGATTATTTTTTTTAAGTTACCTAGTAATAAATCTAACTCTGTCTGATCAATAGGCTCCTCAAATTGCTTCCCCAAGACATTGTTCTCCAAATACTCAAAACAGCAGTACCATGCATCTCCTCTATAGTTGTGGGTCAGTCAGAGCGATGGGAGTGAAGTTGTCAAGAAAGTGAAAGACTTCCAGTGATGAAGGATAACCAAAATAATTTGCATATGACAATGTTAATCACCTGAATTTATGATGGTACCTCACCCCATTTCTAA